AAAAACACAAAACCCAAACCCTTCTGTTACAACAGGAATCTTTTGCTGCCTTTATTCTTTAAGACTAAACATAGGTTTCTCTCTTGGTTTGTGCAGGAGAGAAGAAAATGTTTCCCTTAACTTACAGCTGATTATTTAGCATTCTGGAAAATGGGAACACCAACTTTTCATTTAGAAACCTACTTTTTAGGGTATAAATTTGGAATATTTTTTTTAGCTTGGACAAAGGCAGAAAACACTTAAGAGACGCAGTTAATTCTGAGAATGCCAACACCCTCCAGATGGGCAGACAAACGCTTACATACACCGCGGTAATGTAACAAGCACAAGGCTGCTAGAATGGCGGCTGCTGCCCCTGTCGCCAGCCTGGCCCCTTTGGCTGCCCCCATCGCACAGAGCCTGGCAGCTAGGCCTCCAATACACAGATAACTCACAAAGCCCTTGGAGGGGCTAAAGAAGATGCCTGTTGGCTATATTTACTAATGCAGGAAAAAAAAAAGATTTCATCAACTTGCACTACAAAATATCCTTGTGACTTACTGTTAGTATTAGAGCAAAGCCATTGAGTGTAGTTGTGTAAATGGCACATAACAGCATGAACTGTGCAGTTTTTTTGTCCCATTAGGCAAATGAGGGTGACTACGGGCAATATGAACCTATGCAGCAAAAAATCTCTGTAAAGAAAAGCCAAATGACAGGACCACAGCAGAGAAAGGCTTGAAGACTTGTGGAAGAATGCAAGCATGCACACAGCTGTAAACATTTGTTTTAATCTAGACAAGATCACTGGTTTTAATATTTATAATATAATTACAAAGCCTCATGCACATTGCTTATATAATCTCATTTTTACTTTCGACATATTACCACAAGGCTTTAATTCTGACTGTGGCAGGAATTCAAAAACACATTTAGGTTATCATTAGTAATGAGACACACAGAGGATGCTTACTCAAGCACCTACTGCAGATTTCTCATTTTAAGTCTGAAACGTTTAAAAGTACCAAGATAGAAGTTCCTTCTGCAGAAGGGGTGTGCATGTAGGTAGCTCACAGTTAGCCTCAGTTAAATTAATGACATAATGGCAAACCAGAATTTTTCTGCCTTTAAAACCAATCCTAAATTATACGGATTATGGAAATTACTAATGTTTTCAATGAAAGAATCACTGTTAAGCTGCTTTTTGAATCACTAGTTTTATTTTTGGCCATTTGCAGAATTGTACGCATTTTGTTTGTTACAACATAAAATTCATTAACCAGTGCAATATTTCAGAGGCTCTGTTTCTGTTGCTCCAAGGTATTTCATTAGCCATAAAGCATGAAATGACAGGAACCCTAAAACACAAACATCTGATTATCCTGAACAAGACTGCACCTTCAAAACCACTATCAAGAGAAACAAGCTTGGAAAACGGCCCTGAAATAAAGGAAGATGCACTTTATTTTTATATATTGGAACTAGGCAAAGCCAAAACCCTTAATACCATAGTGATCCTCTGGAAAAAAAAGGCAGATGTTTTAGCTGCCTTCGAATGAAAACGAACTGACATGTCTAATGCCCCTATTATCATGTTAAAAAATCAATTTGGCAATTGCAACAAGGATCTCATTGCTTGTATGTTACATATTTTCATTACGAACAAACAAACTACAACATCATATTCATTGAAAAATAACTAAGCTTATTAAAAAACCACACAGCTGAATAATAAACAAGCTGCAATGAAATGAGATGCAAAGGGAACACATGGGTTGTTGCTTGATATTCAGAATGTAAATCTGCCACTTCATAGAATTCAGGATGCCACCCCAGATTTTCTTTTTTTTTTTTCCTACTTGCATGATTGCAACATATTGTTCATCTCATCTGATAATATGTAGGTGGTCTCCCTGTAACCCGTTCCTTGAAAGCTTACTTCCACGACACGCCAATGAGTAGACTGGATCTATGGAGGTTTCCCGCTTTCTAAATATTCTTTCATTTGGATCTTCAAACTGTTTTATATTCTAACTATGGGTAGAAGTCAAAGTCAAAGCCACCTACAACACATGCAGCTTGAACCTGGCAGATGTCCATCTCTGGAATGCTTGTCCTGAAGCAGCAGAAAGCTGAGCTAAGCCTCAAAGCAATTTGAAACATGTTGATTTAGGCTAGGTAGAGACATTCAAAAAGCCTAAGGTGGAATCAGTCCAAGTTATGTGGTTTTCTGTAAGTGGCGTAGTTTAGATTGGTAGCCAACACAACACACATTCGCCCTTTGGTGGGGGGAGGAGGGGCTGCAAATCTTAGACTGAGTTCCACCATTTTTAAACTGGTCTATGAGTACTGAACTTCTGTCCTGTTACAGACATATAGAGCAGTTTTGTGTGCTGAACTTCTGGTCTGTTATGGGTACAGACTGGTGTCCAATCATGTATACCAATAGAAGTGTAATGTCTGTACCTGGCCTTAGAGTGATCCTTTTTATTGGGGGGGGAGGGGGTGTCACAGTACTTCACAGCCATTGCATTGGATAGGGCAACAAATCAGGTTGATCAAAGTGCTTTCTCCTTATATAAGTATTCCCTTCTTCCCTCACCATGGCAGGCTTCTTCATGAAAGAATGATGCTGTCTCAAGAGGCAACACTTATTTCAGCAGCAACCAGAGGCTGATATACAGATTTAGTTTAGAACAGCTTGCTTACCTTGGTAATGTTCCAGATAACTCGGCAGTCTCTCTGAAAGAGATATAAGGTAGGGAAAATTGGTTAGTGTTATAAGAGGTTGCAATATTTTTTTTAAAGTGAAGACATTTAACACCAGCTGGATTTTCTATACAGACTCACATTGATATCGTTCACGCACTTCCTTTGAAGAAACAATAAAATTGTAATAACATGTACACTCATGTGATAAATAAGAAATAGATGGTGGAGGTGGATAATAAAGATTTCACTGGTTTGAATTTTGGATGGTTGAAATTATTTTTCTATGCACACCTTTAAAGTCATGGCTTCAAATGCCAGGACTGCTGCTTCTTTGAAAGCCAGAACCTGGTGAGTCCATTCGCCACAGGAGAAAAAAAGCTCTCATTTTGGACTCGGCAGGAATACTGGGTCTTGACTGCAATTTTTGTGAAGCTATGATGTACAGAAGTTACTGTGGCTCAGGACTGAATCTTCTCATTCTGGGCCTTGGGCAGTAGTAATTTAAAAAGTGAGAAATTACATTTTTGCACGCTGAAAAAAACAACCCCTTTTTCCTGACAAATACAGGAAATTCACTTTTTTACAGACTGCCTCTTCCACCTTGGAGAACTCAGCACTACAGCAGAGTCTCCCTTGCTTACCTTCACTCATTTTTTACCCCCTTGTTCCCCCCTCGCCTCCCCTCTCTACCCATTGTTTTCCTAATTTCCACCTATTTATATTCTCACTGACCTCCTGTCACACTTTTAGGTTCTTTCATTCCTTGGAGATCTCGGAACAATGGCAGAGTCTCCCCATGTCTAAAGAAGGGTACTTGTGCCCAAAAGCTTGCAAAGAACTTTGTTCCAACTACTCAGCTGCTCTAATAAAAGATATCACATCTACCCAAGAACTTTGCCTGCCTATGTCCTTAGACCAACACAGGTACAACCAAAATCAAGCTGCACTACTAAACCCATTCTTGTGAGATGTCAGTTTATTCAAAGAGTCAATCTAGTTTGAGAATTTGTAAGGAAAAACTGTTATTTTTAACACTCCCCTTCTCAAAAACCAAAAGGAACATATGGACTGCTACCATAATCAGACAAATGGTCCATTCATTTTACCTACCTGCCATCCAAAAATACCCGCTCCAACATGCCTTAGATAATAATGTAAACACCCACAAAGGGGGGGGGGGAAGAGTTACTCATAAAAAACTTCTTAATGTCATATCATAACTTCAAAATATACATGTTTAAATGAGGGCCTATGAACATTCCTGGTGGGTGGTGTACTAGAGTGCCAGACAATGTGTCCACCTTTTATCCTAGCTTCTGAATTGCACCAAAAGATAGCCTATAATATATATTTTCCTAACATTTTCTAACATGCAAGCTTTTTCTGGTACTGGTGTAATGATATGGTGAGATCCTGAATAAGTGCCTCTATGGCTCATGAGGCCATCTTTGTTTTAAAAGATTTCACTGATAGATTTTTACCAACAACTGCAGTTGCTGTAAACTTACGCATTTGCACTGATCAATTCTTCCTAAACTTTTGGCTCCAGTGATCTCTCAGGGTGAAGTGTCACAGGTTAGTTTGGCATTTGTACATAAAACAAAAAAGCAAAGTTTTAAATGGAGCTGACGGGGCACAGTGTGGCTGCTACATCATTTGATGGGACAGAAGCTCATAGAATGAGTTGGCTTATGCACAG